GAAGAAGAAGAATTGAAAAGAATAAATCAATCAGATATATAATAATTCTCTTAGAAATAAAATATCGGTACTAGTAATAGTATTAGTAATAATAGTACTAGTAGTAGTAGTAGGATGACCAGAAGATCATAAATTAGATCACACATCGAGTACAGCAACGTTCGAGTGTGCGTCGTACTCTGTGAAAGTTAGCTAGCAAAAGGAGGATTAAACTCAAAGGAGGTGGAGTAGGAGGAGTAGGAGGAGGAAGCAATGATGATCTTCAAGATCATGACGCAGAGATCGTTCGTGAACTACGTTCGAAGAGTTCGTCCTCTTCTTCGTCCTCGTATTCGTCCTCGTCTATCGTCTTCATCATCGTCATCATCATCTTATAGTCGTCGTCATAGTCTTTCCTCTTCGCACGCGAATCAGGGTCACGCGTTTTACTATAGCGCCGTCGATATAGTTAAAACACGTTATACGGCACATTCATGTGCTAATGCGCAAGTCCGGAGATGTTAACGAGTGGACAAGCGAGACGTTTTCTTTCTCATCGTGAGAGACATCGATGCATGATCAAACGATGTTATTTAAGTAAATATATATCAATACATATGCATGCATAGAATGATGAATCCTAAAACTTGTTCTTTTATTTAATAATTGAATCAATTATATTAAAAAACAAATTATTAATTTAATAATAATACATTGCGATTTGTGAGAGACATCGATGCATGATCAAGCAATGTTACTTAAGAAAATATATGTATATCAATATATGTATGCATATAGAATGATATATATTCCAAAACTTGTTCTTTTATTTAACAATTAAATCAATATTATTAAAAGACAAATTATTAATTTATTAATGTAACTATATGGCATTTTAATTTTTAATTTTCTTTGGTATAATATACATTAATTATTTATTATAATGCTGTTAAAATAAAATAATGGTGCTACAATAAAATTAAAAATATCAAAAGACAAATTATTAATTTATTAATTTAATTATATGTTACTTTGCTTTTTAATTCTATATTGCATAATATTTAAATCAATAATTAAAATATTGATATTCACTTCGATGTCACTAAACTTTAAATACTTCAATAAAAATATTAATTTTAAATTTCTTGATTCAGTAAAACAATTTTTAGGATACCTTCTACACAAAGATATTTTTTAATCAATACATATCAATACTAAAATTATTATAGATATTTATTTTCATAATTAACAACATTAATAAAATATTATAAATAACAAATTTCGAGTAATCAAACAAAATTGATCGAGGTATATGAAGGTATGAGAAAGGGTGGGTGGGGGGTGAGGACGGTAACATCCCGTGGGATTCGTGAACGGTTGAGGTCGAGAGCAAAAGCGTGCGCGACACGAAGAGTAAGAGAAAGAGGAAGAGAGAGAGAGAGAGAGAGAGGAAGAGAAGAGAGGAGAGAGAGGGAAACTGTGAGACAGCCGACACGACCACACCGCGACTCCTATAGCACCGTTGGCATAGCTGGACAGGCCATTTCACATTCCCACGTCCTTAATATAGATTGTTGATACGCGCACGAGTGTACAGAAGAAGAAGAAGAAGAAAGAGAAAGAGAATAAGAAGAAGAACGAGAGAGGGATCTATGGGATTACGACTACGACGAAGATGAGAAAGAGAGAAATAGAAAGAGAGAGGTTAAATGGACCAAGGAAGAGACTCTCGTAGCTGTTCGTTGAAGCATACAAGCATATGCGTGTAAGAGAGAGAGACGAAACGATTTAACAGAACGCGTGGGTGTGACGAAGATGAGAAAAGGCTCGTCGTCCTCTTAGCACAGGTGCCTCTTTTCTTGAGTACAAGAAAGAGAGAGAAATAGAGATAGAAGATGCGTATAGGAGTCCTCTCTTGAATCCTCTCAAAGAGATCGTGCCTATAACGCACGATTACATCGCAAGTGAGTAGGTACGTTCCGCAAAGACCGTAACCGCTATCCAGAAACGGCAGTCAACGTTACTCTAGCGACTTACTGTTAACCACTACGATCGATAGAACCTACACATAGTTTTATATATATATATATTTGTATGTTGTACTCAACAGTATATCTCTCTTTCTACAAAGAGACGTGTACCGGTCCATAGTAATATAGAAAAGCCCAAACGTAGCCTTTTGCTTGTAACTATTTTTCGAGGAAATTGTACGTATGTGTACAGTGTAAGTACTTATACCTATCTACCTAACTACCTACGTTAGGTTTGGTTTAAACTATCGTAAATTGTAGGCTCGGTGACACGTGTCATTCCATATCGGAATGTTTCCTATTTCGAAAAGATAATACAGATCAAGAGAAAGAGAGAGAGAGAGTTACTTTTATAATGCAATCGGATAAGAATAATAAATTGCTTAAACTTCTTGATTCAAACGTTTCCAAATAAAACATTATTTTTTTTAACAAGAGAAAATATAAGGAAGAAGAATAAAAGAATGAATAAAGAAACTCATCTTTAAACTCAAACGAGACCGTCTTCTTCTAGTTGTTTGCCATGACAGTTAGCTAGTCGCGAACGGAAAACTTCGTGAGATCATCGTTCATTTTCGTATAAATAAAATGTCTCTTTTATGCAAGAATATTTAAACGACACTAAGAAGAATCTTTTAAAGAACTTAAGGAAAAAAATTTGGATCAAAAATTCGTGTATATCAAATATAGTCAACTCTCGTTTGTATTTTTTTTTTCTTTTTTCTTTTTCACGATCAGGGACAAAGATTTCTCTCCTACGACGATTACCTTTACAGTAGCAGTTGCTACAAATCGATCCAGGATTCCGGACGTGCCAACTGAGATTCGATACGATACGATACCTAACTAACTCTCTCGCATGAACCTTAAATGGCAAACACATTTCCAGTATTCACTTGTTGTTCTTTACGTCCGAGTTAGAAAGAGACTCTTGTCGTCGTTGTTGTCATCGTAATCCGCGAGCCGTTCGGCGTTGTTCTACTCTCTATGTGGTCCACACGCTAGACTCCACGGGGGAAAACTTTGCAAAAACTTGTTAACTCGAGGCGACACACACGCGTGGTTTTATTCTTACGCAATATGTTTCTCTAGCGAATCCCGTTGTACCTTTAGATACCTTCCCCCTTCCCCATTCACCTATTTTCTTCATCTACCTTCCCCTCTCTCTGTCATTCCTTTATTTCTGTGTATTTTTTTATTGCTGCTTGAGACTACGCAAGAATCCCCACACTACCATTTTTATCCTACTTCTTCTATTTCTATCTTTCAAAATCATTTGATGATATTACGTAGACTTTTATTTTTTTTTTAACCAGTTAGAACCTAATGTTGTTTAGACAAGGAAAGGGGGATTATTTGTCACGTCAGTAATTTGTTATAATAGTCAAGTTGATAGGTTAAACATAGTATTTGGTATTACTTATCTACGATATGTAGGTCATACAGGTTGTTGAAACGCGACAAATTCAACCTCGTTCGATTGGTTAGATCCCAATTGGGACACGTACCGCTACGCGTGTGTGAGCTTTTGGGATTTCGAACCGTTACAAAGCCGCCCACGTGGGGGCCCCTCTCGTCAGGTGGAGCCCGGAATTTGAATATGTTTGTATGTGTGTGTGTGTTTTTGTGTCTGTCTCTCTTTCTCTTTTTTTTTTCTTTCATTCTTTATGACTCAACACCGATACGATTCACAAGATATCGTCGACATAAGCAGATGCTTCCTCTTCTTCTTGTTCTTCTTCTTTTAAAAAAGGTGCGGTCCTCGGATGATTATGCTAAACAGTCTCGTACAGTTTTCTTTTAAATACCTTCCTCAATCTTTTACAACTTCTTCTTTATTCGTGTTTTTTTTTTCTATCTCACTTTTCGGAATGATACATATACAAATTCTAGAACAATTTAGTATTACTGATTTCAATTGTCGAAAAATATAAATCACACTCTCGATTCCATTCACGCAATGATCGTCGAAAGTAATGGTAAATCTGTGACGTACATGTTAAAAAATGGTTGACACCCAAATTCGATTTCGTTCAAATTATTTACACAATTTCGTTTAAAAGAAAAACGAAAGTTATACAAATTTAACCCTTTAAATTCCCGCTTGTAAATGTACTAGGATGTAAAAATGTCCAATTATTAATTTTATCTAATAATATTTCTATAAAAATAATTTTCTAAATCTGACCATTATAACCATTAGGACAAAATCTAAAAAATACATAGAAAAGATTATTTTCTAACCTTATTATTTATTAAAATTCGTTCAACGATTATAACCACGAACAACTGGGCCGACTATAATCGTCATTAACGTAAAAAATAGAACCCCAACCCCCAAAGAAAAATTGGAGTATAAAAAATCATTCTAGAAAATATTCCAAGATAGAATTAAAATGAGAGTAAGAAGTTGGGGGGATGATACTTGCAAAAAGTGAGTAAAGAAGAAACGAAAGGGTAAAAGAAAAAGATAGAAAAAAAAGAAGAAGAGGAAAAAAAAACGAGCCACGTCGTAAATTAGTGGCCGATGAGCGTGCGAGCGGCGAGAGGGTTTGCTAGCGCGCTAAGGTGCACCTCTGGAAGGTGCGCAAGGTTCCTTCTTCGAGGCGGTTTTATCGTCGGCCGACAGGCGTTTAACTTTACGAGCGGCCACGCCACGTATATACTCCTCCTTTTCGTCCTTCTTCTCCTTCCTCGTTTCTTCCTTCCCATCTTCTTTCTTCTTTCTTCTTTCTTTCTAGGCGCGGAGGCATGCTAATTCTCGTGACGCGCGTAACATTAAACTCTGACGTTTAATCCGGTAGAGAAGCGCGTGGCTTGTATTCGAAAGAATCTTGGCATGACCCTTTATATGGTTCGACCCTACCAAAGAACAAGAAATATGTTTTTTTTCTCTCTCTCTCTCTCTCTCTTTCTTTCTCACACACATACAAATATGTATGTAATACGAAAGAAAAAAATTAAAATAATTTGTATTATTTCTGATTACAGTCATTCTTCGGTCGCACGTACAACAACCTGGGTAGCATTTCAGAATGCAAAAACGGAGGAAAGTGCGTGATCAATAAGAAAAATCGTACGTCATGCAAGGCTTGTAGATTGAAGAAGTGCCTGATGGTTGGTATGTCCAAGTCAGGTTCGCGTTACGGGAGACGTTCCAACTGGTTTAAGATCCATTGCCTACTACAGAATGGGACTAATTCTAACACGAACAGCGATGTGGCATCGACCGCCCTATCCCCGTTCGGATCTGCCTTCCTTCCGGGATTCTTGCAACAACCTCAAGGTCAACAGGCTGCAGCAGTCACTGTTTACGGGTCTAAGGACGCCAAGGATTCTGCAGATCAACCGAGACAATTTCCTGAACAGATCAAGTCACCTCATCCGGATGACATAGCTTTACACGCTCAATTGCATATGTTAAATTGGCAAAGGGATAATGATAGGATATATGCTAATGGTCAACAACAACAGCAACAAAAACGGGCATCATCGGAACCATCGAGGGATGATGATTTATCATCCTCTCCAAATAAACGACGAAATATTAAATCACCACAGGAACAGGAACAAGAAGAGTTGCATCAACATCATCATCAACAACAACAACCACAACAAGTGCAACCAACTTCTTCACCAAACTATTCATTGAATTATATGCAATCGGACGTAGTAGTACCTAGTAGTGTACCTGAAGTTTTCCGACCTTTCTTATCGAACTGCAAGACTTTATCGGAACCGCCAAGTGATTGCGGTAGCTCACCGAACGATAATGGAACTGATAGACTTCAAGAGGGCGAATCAAGATGCAATTCTGCAATGAGTTATTCCAATTCCAAGAGAACTTCGCCCGATCATTATTTTCCAGCTAGAAAAATCAACGCAACGGTTACCCTTACCACTGGTGGTTACTTTTCTTATCCACCATTAGGACTTATTTATCCTCAAGCAAATTTGGTTACCCCAGCAACGGCATTACGTACTCAACGTGGCGGTGACGTTCCACTTGCCATTCCTTGCATAGGTGGACTAGCTGTTGAACAAAAAGAACCTATCGATCTTAGTATTAGATCTAGTCGGAGTTCAACCAGGTCTAATAATAATCTTACGGAAAACGAGGATAACGATGATGACGATGATAACGATTCTAACGACAAAGATGACAGTTCTAACAGCGATAGTTCACTCAACGGCGAAACTAAAAGAAAAGGCAAACCTTTGGATTTAACATTGACAGTTAAAAGCTCATCGTTACCGTTTATGCTTTAAGAAACCTTTTAGAATTCTTTTGAACTCTAATTGGGTTGGCTCTGGTCTTATATTATGTGTTCATTCTTTTTGTACAATGGAACTTCCAGTATTTCACGATCTAGTGTTTTAAAAGGTTTTTTTTTCTATTCGAATGATCAACATTATTGAAATGTAATTTTATTTGAACACAATGTATAACAGTGGTTCCTAAATTTTTTCTTATTCTAAACATCCTTTGCTGAATCCAAATTTTCTCGAAGTGTTCTGTAAACAAAATCTAAAAGAAATTAAAAATTCTTGTTTAATATAAATAAATAAAATGCGTTTTATTTGTACAGGTTTCAGCAAAAATAAAAATTAATATCAATTGAGTTATTGGCATGAACTAACTCTGATTAAATTTCGAATTTGTGCATTAACATACACGTTTTAGGAACCACTGATTATACATTTTCCTATTCATGTTATTTACTATTATTAAAATTAATAATTAAAATGTGTTAAATTCTTTGTACGAATTTCTTTTTTTTTTATTGCTCCAATTGAGAAATTGATATCAATTATAGTTCTCAATTAATGATATTATGAAAAACGAATCGTGCATTATTAAAAATAAGTGTTAAAATAAAAAAAAATTAAAAATAAAAAAAAATATAAAAAATTAAAAAAATCCATTTATAGAATATTCTATAAATAATAAAAAAAAAATAATGAAAGTTTAATTGAAATTGTTAGATTATAAAATTTTTTTAAGTGATTTACGATTATAGAAATAAAAAAAAAAATACAAAAATTATTTTAGTCTCATTTGCGAATAAAACTTTGATGGTGCCAAAGAATAATGAAGTGAAAGTACTTCTTATTGAATATAAAATATAATTAAAAAAAAAAAAAATAAAAAAAAATATAAAAAATTAAAAAAAAACCATTTATAGAATATTCTATAAATAATAAAAAAAAAGTAATGAAAGTTTAATTGAAATTGTTAGATTATAATATTTTTTGAGTGATTTACGATTACAGAAAAAAAAAAAACAAATAAAAAAATTATTTTAGTTTCATTTGCGAATAAAACTTTGATGGAGCCAAAGAATAATGAAGTGGAAGTACTTCTAATTGAATATAAAATATAACAATTTATATAAACTATTTTATACAATAGAAAAATTGTTTTTATCAAAACAGTTATGTTTCCTTATTAAATTAGGATGATAATACTGGATGTTCTACTGTATACATATAAAATATACGCTTGATCGAATGAAGCGAATTTACATAATGCAACAACGCTTCTATCTCTTGTAATTTATTTCGATTAAATAATAAATTACGGTACAATCGAAATTCTATCGATTTTTTCATTGGAAATCGATATTTTAAACAAAATATATGTATACATGTATAAATAAATTAGTCGATCCAATTATAATACTTTACACGATACAATATAATATAATATATATGTATGTATGTATATGTATGTATATATTTATATATATATATATATATATATATATATATATATATATATATATATTAAATAATAGAGGAATGTGTATATATTTAAACAAATCATCGTAGTATATCACACTACAAATAAATCATTCAATAACGATTTTTTTTTTTTTTTAATTCATTATCTGTTTGTACATCCAATTAATGTAATTTTTTTTTTGTGCGTTTGAAATAAAAAAACATCATGTACGAATAAACATTTTAGCAAAAAAACAAAAAAGGAAATGATAAAAGTTCCACGTGTAAATTAATTGCATACTCGATCAAAATAAATTGATCGTAATATATAATATATACATAATATATTATATATATGTGTATAAATAGTAGAATTATAATCTGTCAACATGTAAATAGTAGATTTAAGTAAGTTAAATTGTCTACAAAGTCGATATCGTTTTTTTTTTCTTGCTTTTGCTTGGTGTATGAATTTTCTTTGCTGATAAAGTATGATTTCATTTTCATTTATTTCCTTTCTATTTCTGTTTCTATTTCTATTTCTCTTTTTCTTTTCGTTATTATTTTCTCTTTATTTTTCGACAATATTTCTATTGTAAATGTTTCCTTCAAGACGATAAAGACTAATAGTCAATACCTAACAATAAGTAAGAAACAAAATAAATATTTTTGTTTAATCAACGTTGTTTTATTTCTTTTCATTATTCTCACCACCTTTTTAATTATTTCCTCCTTATTTTTTTTTTTTTTGAATAAATTAATTAGTTATTTAATTATATAGAAAAAAAGGAACTAAATAATATCTCGTAAATTATTTTTATTAAATACATAAAATAAATTTTAACCCAAAAATGTTATTTAAATATTTAATTAAATTCAAATTATTATTTAAATAAATATAAAAATAATATATTATACATATTTAGATATTAGAAAGATAAAATAATTTTAATCTTATCAAGTTTCAAGGTAAGTAAACATTTTAGTATATTTGAACTTTATCACAGTTTAATATTTCCCACATTTGAATGAAAACAAAGAAGATTGAAATCGATGAAAAATGGAAGGACGTGGAAAGATTCATTCTGAAGAGAAAGATCGAGTCAAGGTACGCGTTTTGCTCTCGATTTACCTGCTTTTACTGATCACTGAATCACGAATCTCCACGGGTAACCTTGCGAACGATGCGCCAACGTTTTTATTGCCTTTACATCAAGACTCCTCTTCGTTTATCTCGCAAACCATATATATACTCATACTACCTATTCATATACCTATATATATATACATCTATATATCTATTGGGAAAATACTAAGAAACTTTTTCCCTAACCCAATATATATTTTTATATACCTCATATATAAATATAAACACACGACGAACTTATTTACAAAAGAAACATATACATAAATGTAATACTTGTATGTACATATATAAGGTAGCACTTGGTGTCGACGTTTGCGGCTACCATTAATCAATTGCCAGCAGGAAGCGCGATCGTTGGAAAATTATCGAGTTACGGATACCTGCCCACGCTGGTCTGACCTTGCAGGTTCGCGTATCCGGATCCTCGGTATATATCGATCTTCTTTTTCCTCCTAAGAATAAATATCTTTTCTAAGAACGAGAATCTTACAAAAATAAAATACAATAGGATATATAAATATAAAATTCGATCACATATACAGTAACAATAATAAATTATCATTGAAATTGTGGTAATTAATGGAATCCCCAATTATGAGTCTTTTTCTAAAAAATATATAATACTTTAAAAAATTACCATGGAAATTATTATTGATGGAATTCCCAATCACGAGATTTTTAATATAAAAACATAATATTATAAAAATATAATACTACAAAAAATTACCATGGAAATTATTATCGGTGGAATTCGAATCACAAGACCTTTAATATAAAAATATAATAGTATAACAATATAATAATATAAAAATATAAAAATATAAGTTAAAAATATAATACTAAAAATATACTATAAAAATCACCACGAACACCAAGATCTGTTGACTATAATAAATATAGGAAGAGGGAAGGGATAGGAGGAGATAGTGGGGTTAGAAGGAGACAAAAGGGTAGTGGGGGAGGAGGATTAAGGAATACAAAAATAATAACTCAACAATGTTGGTTGTTTGAAATGAACTGAACACTCATCTACAAACACTTATATTTACCTCCCACTCTTTTCATCCCTTCTCTTGTCCTACACTACCCTATCCTTATTTTCTCTCTTCCTATCGCATTGTTTAGAAAAAAAAATAAAAAAAAAATTAAAAGAAAAGTAAAAGAAAAATCTTTTTAAACTGAATTCAATAGGATCGATCTTTCGCTATCGAAGAATTGTCGATTTGTCCGGCAAATCCCGACCACCGGTCGGTCGGCGAATAGAATAAATGCGTTTGTACTTACATGGACTGTAGTAATACTTATCTGATACACGTAGGACGTTACTATGTACTGGGTGTACACGGATCTTCTGAATCTTTCGATAAAATAAAAAGAATCAAAGGAAGGAAGTAAAGAAGGAAGGAAGAGATTGATCGACCGATCGAGGTAACTTCGAAGAGAGAAAGAAAGAGAAAGAGAGAAAGTTTATTCGTGTTTCGACGAATAATCGATGATCTTTTTTTTATTTTATTTTATTTCTCGTAGGTTGCATTCAACTCTAACGATTCCTTTTATTTTTTTTTTTCTTATAGATAACCAATCTATAGTTTATAGATGAATATAAATTATATGAGAGAAATTAAATCAATCAATTAATAAAAATATGGAATACGTTTATAATTGTTTTGTTTGTATGTGTGTTCTTATATTTTATTTTTTAATTTATTATTAAAACCTAATTATATTATTGTGAATTATTATTATTTTGTATTAACAAAATTATTAATTTAACACAAATTTTTGTGATTACTCTGCAAATGTAATATTTGAAATTACAAATCTACCCTACTAAATAGATAATTTATAAATCATTAATAAATAATATATTAAATAATATTAGATAATAATTTAATATAATTAAATAATATACTTTAAAAAATATATTATATATTTATTAATAATGTATGTAATATTATTAAACAATAGATTTATAATATTAAATATTAATTTAATATATTTTAATTGTACAGTAACCAAATAATCTAAACGTAAATTGACATTAGAAAATTATTTTAAAAAATGAACAAACAAATTAGATTGAGTTTATTGAAAATATTGTTTCGAAGTAAAAAATGTTGGATTATAAAAAATGTTGAATTTAGATTTGATACACCCTGTAGATAGTTTGTTGAACGACTAACCGCGGATAACAAACGATCGGAACCCGAGGCAGTGCGTCAGAGTCCACTACGACTGGTTACACCGGCCAAGCAATAAGCAATCGTTTAAACTCGTCATGACTCTATGCATGAGTTGGGCAACGCAATCCTGAGTTTGTACAGGGACGATTTTAAACCCCGTACGGGACTTCTGCTCGAGTAGAACTCTATTTGAACCTTCTCGCCGAATGAAATATCGTTAGGGAGCTAAACTAACGATAGGTTAGTTTTACCGATTAGAATTCGATCTATTCGTTTGATATCGTTTTGTACCAATCATGTCTGCAGGTCAACTCATGTTAATACGAAAAGATTTGATCAACTAAAATATTTATACAGAATTGATTGAATAATTATTGATTTATATAAAACGAGCTTAGGTGTGTAGGTGTGTGTATGTAATGATGAAATGTTTAATACGTATATTAATTGTATATATAATTATTATTTATATAATAAATTATATAATATATTATAAATAAATATGTATAATAAAGATTTATAAAAAATTTAATATATAAATAAATATAATATAATTCTATTATATATATAATTTAGTATTTATATTAATTTAATATAATTTAATATAATTATATTATTATATAATAAAAAATATATTTTTATATTTCTTTTTATTTTCTATATTTTCTTAATACTTAATTAAAAATTTTTTCATCTATTAG